GCACAAACAACGGAGAGTCAGAAAATGCCTCCCTAGGGAGGAGACAGGCAGGTGCAGTCTTGAAGCACAAGGAATTGCAAGTTGAAGAGGGTGAAGGGTCCTCAGGCAGAGGGGTGAGCAGAAGGTGCAGCAGAAGTCAGTGGAAACCTGTGGGAGCTTCCAGGAGTGGCCTGGGCAAGAACTGCCAGGTATGAAGATACTAAAAGGGTCTTCACAACTGTGTCTTTTAAATCTGAGCTCCAGGTCTCTGGCCAGTAGGTGTATTGTTTTACAAGATAACTTGGCATTAGCTGACAATGGATTAGACACCGAAGGAGCAGAAGGGCCATCATAATTTTTCAGCAGGGAGAGATAGATTTAACAGATACTTAGGAGGAAGAAGAGATACTTTAACAATGAAAGAAGAGGAAATGAATCAGGGAGTAAATAGTGAGTTCACTTTTGAATACACGCTCATCAGTCATCCGAGGGAAGGTGCCCAAGGGAGGCAGAACTGTATGTTTGCAGCTCCAGAAGGCTGAGGCTATAGATCCAGGAATCGTCTGGGAGTAGATGGCACTGGAAGCCAAGGAAGCTGCTGAGAGATCTGGCGAAGTGGGGAGTGCGCAGATTTCCATCGTGAAGGGGTCACTTATGCTGAGGGTGTCCATTTGGTGTTCGATGAACTTCACTTCTTTAGATCAGGGCCCATGGAATCCTAACAGATGTTCTCAAAGGTCTGGGGAACCTCGTAAATGTTAAGCAAAACTTTATTTCTTGTTGGGACAGAGACTATGGCTGTTAGTGGATTCTCAAAGGAATTTGGCCCAAAAAAATAAATAGATAAATAAATAAAAGGCTAAGACTCATCTCACACACACACACACACACACACACACACACACACACACAATCACCTCTGATACTCAGAATTTAAATTGAATCAGGGATCTGTTCGGGCTTCAAGTTAAGCTTTATGTAATTATTTTGGTCCCATTTGATCATTTTAAGAAAAACAGTTCAGGTTTCCCTGGAGTTTCTGGAATGGAGAAAAGATCTGGGGTGATAGAAGAGGATGGATATGGCTGGGTTCCTGATTTTGTTAGAAAGATCTGTGTTTCCGCTCTACTCAAATCAAATCCTCACAAAATAATTCTTCATATTAAATATATGTCTGGTCACGTAATAAAAGCAGTGAATTGAAGTGATTATCTACATGGCTAACAGGTACTACTGTGCTCATGGTTCTGAATGAGATCTGTATTCCAGGAATTCCTAAAAGCTCTGTCCCCTCAGATCCCTCTCTTCACCACCATGGCGACCTACTGTTTGGTTCATACTGAAATTGGATCTAAGGTTCTTAATCTATCATTATAGCAAATAGTTCATCCTTTTATGTCATAGCTTTCTCCATGAGAAAGAGCTTTTGAGGAAGGACATATATAATTTTTTTTTGTACCAGAGATCGAACTCAGGCCCTTGTGCTTACAAGGCAGGCAGCAGAACCACTGAGCTAAATCCCTGGCCCTCAAGAGAGGTTTTATTTTAATGGAATCTGAGCACAATATGAAAATTTCCAATTCTTTTGTGCATCAAAGAACACCATCAAGAAATGAAAGATAATCCATGGAATGGGAGAAAATATTTGCCAGTCACATATCTGATAAAGGCCCAGTATCTTGACTATACAAAGAATTCTTGCAATTGAACAATAACAACAACAACAAAAATAAATATTCCAACTTAAAAATAAGCATGCCTCTAGTCCCAGCACTTGGGAGGCAGAGCCAGGAGGATCACCATGACTTCAAGGCCTGCCTGGGTTACTTAGAGAGTTCAAGACCAGCCTGAACTATGGTCTGTCTCAAAAAAGTTAAAAAAAAAAAAAAAAGCCAGGCAAGGTGGTGCATGCCTGTAATCACAGCACTTGGGACACTGAGGCAGGAGGACCACTGTGAGTTTGAGACCAGCCTGGGCTACATAGTGAGTCCAGGTGAGTCTCAACTACATAGTGAGGCCCTGTCTCAAAAAACAAAAAACAGTTAAAAAAAATTAAAAATTTCAAATGGACATTTCTCCAAAGAAAATATATAAATAAGCGATAAGTACATGAAAATATGTTTAGCATCATTAGCCATTAGGAATAAGCAAATCAATACCACAGTTAGATACTGCTTTACCCCCATAAGATGGCTAGATTTTCTTTTTTTGAAACAGAAAATCACAAGAGTTGGCAAGGAATTAGAAAAGTTGATATCTTCACACATGACTGGTGGGAACATAAAATGTTACAGCCACTGTGAAAAATAGTTTGGCAGTTCCTCAAAAAGTTAAAGATAGAGTTACCATACGATCCAGAAATTCTACTTGTAGTTGTATTCCCAAAAGAATTAAAAATATATGTTCACAAAACAACTTCTGTATATGCAGAAAAGCATTATTTATAACTGCCAAAAAGTGGAAACAACCAGAGTGTCTGTTAACTAAATAATGGATACATAAAAAGCAATATATAAAAGGGAATATTACTCAGTCATAAAAAGTAATGCAGTGTTGATACATGTTACAACATTCAGAACCTTGAAAGCATTGTTCTAAGTGAAAGAAGTCAAACAACAAAGGGCACACATTGTAGTACTCTATTTACATGGAATCTCCAGAGTAGACAAACTCACAAAGAGAGAAAAGTAGACTAATGGTTGCTGACAGCTGAAATTAAGAATTAGAAGGCCTGGGGTGCCTTTTTGGAGTGATGAAAATGTTCTGGCATCAGATGGTGATGATAGCTCCACAACATTGCAAATGTTCTAAGGGCCAGTCACTTGTATGCCGCCTCAGGGTTAAAATGGTGAATCGTAATGTCACATGAATGTTATCTCAGCCGAATAAAATGCAGAACAAAATTGCCAATTGATTTAGCTTTACCCCAGAGATAACACAATCACAGGACCCACAAACCTTTTGATAGTTTCCCCTCTCGTCTTTGCACAAGTCCAATATGTTCACATAGGATGAGAATTCCTCATCATTCTGATATCTACAATATTTATTCTAAGCCAGTTAAAAACTCAGACACAAGGAAAAATTCAGTAAAGAACAGAAGTAGTAGAGGCAATATTAGTATGCATGAGTTTGGGGAACATGTTTCTAAAATGTGGGAGAAATAAAATAATAAGGCACTGTATTAAAGGCCCTGCGCATTTGTAAGCTTTATTTCAACTTGAAAACCTGTGAGTGGTAGTAAAGGAGGGTGAAATAAGGAATCGTGCTGCCTATTTCTTTGTGCTGTCTGCGCTCCTTCCAGAAGTGAAGCCAAGTTTTACTTCTGTGGCACTTGGGGATTCCTAAAAATTTCACTCTTCTTTGGACTAAAATTATTTAATCTTGTTTCTGAGATTCTGAGCACAGTGAATTTCCACTGCGTACGGTGTTTGTGCCTGGCTCCTGGGAAGATTGCTTGGATTTTTATTTGTCTTTATATCACACAACAGGGGGAGATTAAGAATCTGCCTGGTAAAGAGGAGCGACTCGACTTTTTCTTTAAGGTATCCTGTTCATAGAGTTAAATATAACTACAACAAAAAATATCCTGGACACAGCAAGACTGTTGGATAGCCGTGGTGTGATAAAAAATAAATAAAAGAATTTTTTTCCAAAACAACTCTCACTGGCTTCACGGATGCCCATCTCCCCTGTTAACTCCCCTGCTTCTTTTTGCGCTGCTGGGGGCAGAACCCAGAGCCTTGCACGTGCTGAACCACCAAGCTTGTCAACTCTTGAGTGGCACGGTTCCTAAACACCTGTCTGCCTGTGGCCATAGTGCAGAAGTTCGCTAAGGAGCAGGCGGGACCAGAATTAATTTGTGGTGTCCAGTGCAAAAACTCATTGTTCAAACATTAAGAATTTCAAAAGGCCGGGCATGGTGGTGTGTGCCTGTAACCCCAGCACTCGGGAGGCTGAGGCAGGAGGATCGCTGCGAGTTCAAGACCAGCCTGGGCTACATAGTGACTTCCAGAGCAGTCTGAACTACATAGTGAGACCCTGTCTCAAAAAAAAAAATTTTTTTTTCAAGAAGACAACAACAACGCATAAACACAGCCACTACAACGTGTCGCCCACCCATGTTCTGGGGGAGAGTTTGATGACAAATTTCCCAGCAACACCACCTTCTTTCTGGGACGGAGGACAAGATATCGAACTTTCCAGAACCTCACCCCCACCCTGAAGCAGGAGGCTAAGCAGCCCCATTGCTTGCCTTGCTGCAAGAATTTTTTTCTAAGTCTCAAGCTCGATGCCATTGTTTAGCATGTTTTCCATTTTTCTATGGAGAAGGAGGTGCCATGTGCCCATTTAGTGAATTTCGTGTGGGTCCTCTGGAGCATTGGGAAGGGGGCTGAGTGGGGCCGTGCTTGCTGCAGCTCCACCCCAACACCCTCTGCCTCGCTCTGTGTTTTTATTAGCTCGTCTCCTCGGTACATCAGTGGCAAGGGTGATGAAACCGGTGGCAGATTGAACTGCCAGGCAGCTGGGTCACCGTCCCGTGGGCCTTGTTGTCATGCTGCGGTCTTAAAGTGACCACGGCTGCCTGGGCTGCTGCTCTCCACCAGGCTCAGGGAGAGACTACTGAATAGTTAATCAGTAGAAAAGGAAGACAGAGGCTGCTGCTTGTAGAAAACACAGATAGGCGGCTTTGAAAACTCCCAAGGTGGCTGGATATCAAGAACACAGTTCCTGCTGTGGGCAGCTGTGTGTGCAAGGGGCAGCCCGAGGGCTCAAAATCAAATCCTCAGGACAGGTTGGTGCCTCGCCCCATGGGGCCTTGGCAGTGGAGGCAGAAAACCTAAACACTACAAAACGAAGAACCCCTCGGTCCTGGCACAGGGCGGTGACCGTGAGCGGTTACCTTTTGCATTGCTAGCGGTGTCCGTGAGCAGTGGTTTTAAGGGGTAAAAAGGCAGAGTGAGCGGAGGAGAGAGAACACGATAACTTATTTAACAGGCAAGATCTGCAGGGTCCCTTACCTGAAACCGTCTCATGTCTCTCGGGTTTCCTGCTGTTTTCAAACAATTCTGATTGCACTTGAGGAAAAATTTTAAAAAGAATCTGTAAAGAGAAAGCAATGTGTTACATTTTTCAGTAAACATTTTTTAAAGGAGACCATATCTGCATTCTATTAGATTTGATTTGAAAAGAGATTGTATTTCAGGTCTGGCGAATTTCAACCAACCCTGCCTGAGAAGGAACAGAGCTGACCCTCTGCAATTTGCAAATGTGAGTTTTCAGTCGCAAGCCCAGCGCCCCGGCTCCATCACTGTGGGGCATTGTTAAGCGGTTCACAAGCGGGGCTCTGGTCTGTACACCCGCCTGGAGTTTGTATAGCATGCACTCTGCAGAAACAGGCTTCAAACACAGCAGTGACCCCTGCTGTACAGAAAGTCTTGCTCTGGGGGAAAAGTGGCAGGGCATGGTCCAGAATCCCGGGCTCCTCGTGTATGTGGCTCCACACACGCACCCCTGGGGCTCAGACTTGAAGGCTGCCTGGCAATTTGATGGAAAAATGGTATATGCCGCCACCCAAAGACCAAGTCATCTGGGCAGGTATGCACTGAGTGTTAATTAATAACAAGTGTGAGAAGGGAGGGCAGGGATGTGGAGAAATAATGAGACTTAAGATCTGTCATGTAAAGGTACAAGATCCCAGTGATGAATGTAGCTGTACTGTATACCTAAAAAGTACCAATAAACTCAATAAAAAAATAATAACAAGTGTGAGTCTCTTTTCAGACCATCTACAGATCATCCAGAAAAACACAGAGGCCCGAACACACTTGGAGCTTATCATTTGTAAGGCATGCATTTATTTTACAGTCCATATTCTCCTAAGTGGTCTGTTTAATTTTAAAACGGGATATCTTGAATCACACGACTTCAGCCAAGAAAAAAATGGCAGAAGTGGCCTTTGCAGCAATTCACCTAGCTCCAGTTTGAAATTTTGTTTCAAAATACAATAAGTTTTTCATTTATTTTGCTTGCAGAGTCCTTTCCCTTAAAAAGAAAAAAAAATCCAGCTTTTGCAGTGTTAAAGTCCCAGGTGAGCTAGGCCTATTTCCCTTTCTGTTACTATGACAACGAAATTTTACCGCAGTCCCTAAGTCCCTTCAGAACTCTCACATCCATGCCTTGAATTAGAACTTTAAAGGAAACGATATACATTTTCCCCAGGATTACCAACAAAAATAAGTAGAAATCAACAATGCTTCTGAAAATCCTATTTTAAAGCATCGGTTGGTGAAATGCTCTCATCGTGAATTTCTGTTTATTTTTATTTTCTAACAACCACACAAAAGAACGAGACAGCTCCAATTAACTGCATGTGTCACTAAGAAAAAGAAACAGATGAGAAGATAAACAGTAAATAATAGAGGACAGAGAAGGGGACTTGACTCTTCAGACTCTATTCTGTACCCAAGACTCTTTCCTCTTGATTTTCTGAGAATATTCAGCAACATGTCCCTGACCCGATGTGGTGTATGAATGAGGCTGGGTGTGAATTTGGAAGTAACAGCTAAATATTTTTCCATGATATTGCAACATCTGCTTTCTACTTCCCTCTCGCGATCTGTTGTGGGGTGGGTGGGAGGTCAGGCACGGGTTCCCACCCCAGAACGGTGTTGGGGTCTCTCCTGGAGATTCCCCAGCAGGACAGGCGGAGGAAATAGCATTGCTGTTTGCAATATGTAAATGTGCAACCTGCCGCAGCCTCTGAAAGTGCGGCAAAATGTCTGCTGCAGTGAGTAGGGTGGTTAGAAGGGGGAACTGCTCTGATTTAAGTAAAGATTGAGCAGTACTCAACATTTTCTCTCTGGGAGGGGGAACATTCCTGTATCTGTGCACTCACAGCAGAGTCAGCTACAGCCACTTATGAGGCTCTCAGATGCTCTGCAGCTAGACTGAAAACGGGCCTCTCCTGGCAAGAATTTACTTCTAACAACAGCCCCCTCCTGAAAGAATATTTGCCTTCCAATACCCCCAGCAACAATTTACATGTTTTCCCTACCAAAGCCACACTGAGGGTTTGTTCTCATTTACTCCCTGATTTTAGGAAAGTTTTGTGACGAATGGACTTCTTGTAATGCACACTGTGTGCGCATACTTCCCCGTACCTCCCCACCTCCTCTCCCAGACGTATCTGGTGAAAACATTAATGTTCATGTAGGCATTATTGTGTGAATGGTGTGGTAGGTGGAAAAGTGCAAAAGAGATAAATGTTTACATAAAATGGAATTGATTTAGGGAAACATGGAGCCTGGTGAAAGGGTTGATTCATTTTAAATTAGGACCCTTAACAGTTATTTGGATGGAAAACCCCCACTTTTGACTGTTTCACTTGTCTGTGGGCTGAGTTTGCAACCTCCACAGACCCTGAACTCTAAGGATTTAGCACTTGGTTGACCAAGGGGAGCTGTGGGGCATTGAGATCTCTTAGGTTATATAATAGCATAGAACTGGTACTTCTACATGGTTAGCGCCAAAATTTACACACTGGAATTTTTAATATGTGGATCTAAAAAGTAATAGAAAGACATCCAGAAGCTTTGCTTACTGATATCTCTGATTTTTCTCTCTGCCTTTTGCTGGTGCCTTTCACGCTGTCCCTCAGCCTCTCCAAACTCAGTGCTCAGAGTCTTAGTACAAAACTTCTTTCTGTCCCTACTGTCTATCAGACACAGGGAAACTGGCAAGGACCAAATTCTCTCTGAATCCCATGGGTCTAGATCGCTCCAAAGCCAGAGCCGCTGGTAAACATCAGCTTCTCTACTCAGAAAGGGAAAACCAAAATGAATCACAAGATTCAGACCAAATGTGCAGATTTCTCACCAAGATGGGAGTTCTTTGCACTTTCTCTAAACAACAGTGACAACGTAAATCCTCTAACCACTTAGCATGCTATAGTTTACAAGCCTTTTCTGACTGCAGTCCTGAAGAGTGGACCCTAACAGTGGCGGGTTTGTCCTGCTTCTGTGCATAATAGGAACAGAGAGGTGGGGTCAAAATGTGAACTCAAACTCTCAGACTTCAGGGACACCTAAGGTCACCAGGGCGGTATCATGTACCAAAAGGCATTCCTTTGCTGCAGAGATACGTATGAGACCGTGCTGGGCTTGACTGACCACCAGCGAATGATGAGACCAAGTTACCTCGCTTCTCTCGGCCTCATTTTCTTCACTGTGAAAGGAAGCGTTTAACCGGATTACCCTTAGGCTTCCTTCCAACACCAGCATACCGTGACTGCAAACGAAAACAGGCAGTGAAGGTACTTTGGGGAAAGAACCCACTGACACCAAGAAGACCAGAACTCGCTGAGCTCCAGGTGGGTCCGTCGGTGGCAGAGGCAGTTTCTGAGACACAGGTTGAACTCACTGAGATGAGGCTGTGTGAGAAAACTAGAGGGGCGGGCTGCCTGGTGGGAAATGGGGTATCCAGGAGAGGCCTCGGCCAGAGTCGGTAGTGTCTGAGGTCGATGGGCAGGGGACTGGGTGAACCGTACTACTGCACTAGGATTCTTTTCTACACTTCTGAGGCAGTGGAAGGGGTCACAGCCAGCCCCGTCCCCCCTGATCCCCGTATCTGAAGCAACACCCCGTGAGCCTAAAACCACAGACTGTACCTAACCCTAGGCAGACTGCTTTCTCCTCTGCATTCATACCTGTGATCAAGCTTAATGCGTAAATTAGGCACAGGAAGGGATTAGCAACGATAACTGCTAAGAACATTGAACAATTATATCAGTGTGCTGTACTCATAGTTATTTTAAGTGGGAATTGTTTTCTGGAATTGTCCATTTAATATTTTCAAACTATAGTTGACTACAGGCAACTGAGTCCTCGTAAAGTGAAGCCACAGTGGAGGGGGACATTGTCCCCTGTGCTTGGTAGGCAGGGCCTCTTTAATCGTTGCATCATTTCACAGCTGGAAAAACCAAGGCCTCGAGAATTCAAGAAGTTTACCAGGAAGCAGATAGCTTGTAAGGGGCAGGCACAGTGCTTGGAACCTGGGTCCTCCCGGCAACAGCTCTTTTTGCTGTTCTGTGTCTCCTACACCAATGACACTGGAATAACGGTGGCACAACTCTTAAATCCATTGAAATGTACTCTGAATGGGTGAGCTTTATGATTTGTAAATTATATCTCAGGGAAACCACTAATTTTTCCCAAAAAAATGGCCTAAAAGGGGGAGCGGGGAGAAAAAAATAAATCAGGAAGAAAAAAAAATGAATGATTCTTGCCTCTTGGAAGCAAGAGCCCTGAAAAGGAAAACATGAAGATATCATAAAAAGAATACATGCTTGATATTGAAAACTTCTGCTAAGTTCATCTATTCACTCATTTGATCAATATGTATTAAGTCTGTTCCGGATGCCACGAAGGTTCAGACAGCTGCAAACAGAGCCACAGCCAAACTACATTTCTACAGAGGCTGAGATGGGTCTATAGAGCCTTGGGTATAGGTCTGAGTAAGATCCCAATAGACTGCCAAAAACCAGAGAATTCTCTCCCTTCCTTTCCCAATCTCAGAAATAAGGAAACAGAGTGCATGGTTGAGGAACACACAGAAACTCTTAGGTGACTTTGACATGCCCTGTGTCCATCTCAAATAAAAACTACGCTCACATTAATGGTACAATTTGGTGAAAATTAAAGGTCCAGTAGTGGGGGTAGGAGGACCTCCAAAATCACAGGAAGGGCAACTCCTTAACATTCTTGTCAGACTCTGGAATTATAAACAGCGGTCTCACTATCCTAAAACCTAGCACAGTATTTCTCAGGATTTGTGGAAGAAACTGTTCGATTTGCCTCAGATTTGAAATCCAAGATCTAATCCCTTCTTTAAAATTTTAATATGGAAAAAAAATCTCCAGGCAAGCACTGTGGAAGGTACCAACATTCCTTTCAATAGAAAGATTATACAGGATGCATAGCAAAGAAACGTGGACTCGGCATCAAAAATAGTTATCATAGTTAGATAGTTACAGCACACAGCCTTACTCTGTAAAATAATGTATAAAATTCCTTTCACTCTGAAACTTCGTTTACTCTTTTTTT